TGCACTTCCCTCCTCCATGGCTGTGTTGGTCTCGGAGGTTTCATGCCAAGGGGCTCAGGGGGCTGCGGACCATTTGGGATGTCTTTCCTTTTTCATCTTTTCACTTGGTTATGGACAACAGGCTTGGGGTTAGAAGTTCTCAGCCAGGTGCCTTCTTGGTGCAGTTTCTTCATTTCTGACCTCCTCTGTTTGCTGATAACTTGAAATGGCAAGAACACGGCATGAACGTGTCCCAGCATCCCCAAGTCAGAATTAACTCCAGGGAATGCCAGCTCGTGGTTCTGGATCAGTGAGGGGGCACAGGGTCCTGCCCATGAAGAGGAAACTCCAGAAGTAAAGTTTAGTGGTTCTCTTTAGAAGATACATTTCTTATTAATACTTATTCCGTATAGGACTAATAATTGCTAACGGAAGCAAACTGCAGTGAGATAGGAGCTGTGCAGGCAGCGCGGTGCTGCAGTAACCAAGTGCTGCAACACTTGATCAGCCCTCCCCAGAATGTGTTTCCAAACAGGGGGAGGCACCTGCCATCGCTGCGTTGGCACATTTCAAACCTTTTAACTGAGCGCCAGCGAGCATGTGGAGCACGCCGTTAGATCTTTGTATCTTAATTAACTTGATCTTCATCATCAGTGATGTGGTGAGAAGCAAAGAGTCGCTCTGTAAATTCCGGTTCCCGTTAAACCAAAGCAAACTCCCATTTAACGGCGCAGTGTTAGGAAGGGCAGAACACCGAGCTTTTGTGCCAGCAGTGCTGTTATCATCAGCGACCCCGTGGAGCTCCCCGCGATCTCTGCATCACCAGCGTCTGCGCAAAGCCAGGACCCGAGAGTCTAAACACCCATCCAAGTTTTGGGGCGGTTTGGTAGCATTCGGCTGCGTGACCAGGGAGAGTCACTCATCTCCCATCTCTGAGCATTGGGTTCAGCAAAAATCCTTTTCCACGAGATGATAACCTGCAATAAGGCGGCAGAGGCTGCGCACACACGGCGGGGCTTGGGCAGGCACCGCGTCATGGACGCTGGCCGCACCGGGAACGCGTCGGCTCTCGGCGGGTGGTATCGTATGTACCGCGTTATAGATAACCCAAAGAGATTTCTCCAGGCACCGTCAGCATCCTTATCGGCCTAAGTGCGTTTCGGTGGCTGTCAATACAGTAAATGACCTGTTCAGGCCGCTCCTTTGATACGTACACAGAGCATTAATCTTTGCACTTTTATGCCAGGCTAAAAATAGCAGCTCCTTTCTCCCGCTGCCCCGAGCATCCCCGGCTGGCCCCGTGTCACACTGTCACCTGTTGCAGCGGCTGTTCGGCGAGCGGCTTGTGTAACTCGGCTTAACGAAGGCTGAAGGCACCATCCCTGTGCCCGCTCAGGCAGCTCTTTCCAACAGGAACGCTCATGGCGGTTGGAGGATTTTTGGTTTTTTTCTCAACAGCTCCGAGCTTTCCCTTATAAGACCGCTGTGCCCAGCTTGCCTGAGCATCCACCGAGGGCTTGGAGCTTTGCAAAGCTGAGCTGGACCTGGGCTCGTGGGAAGGAGAGGTTCGGTCCTTCTTGGACCAACTCACGTTGTACCAGTGACTTCTGTATATTTTAGGGGGTTGGGAACTCCTTAGATGAGAGTCCTGAAGCCTGACCGGAGCGTGCCTAGTTTCACTGTTATTACTGCTGTCTGCATTAAATACAGATGTTACTGAATCCCCAAGCCCTGTCCTAGATTACAGTGAGCTCGTTTTAAAATCTGGGGACTGAAAGCTGTCTTTTCATGGGGTTATTTTCAGATCCCGAACTGAAATTTGGAGATGTCCTCAGGGCATGGGGACACATCTTTATTTTCAGTTTACTGATGGGGAAGGTAAGGCAAAAGAGGCAAAAGGAACGCCTTTCTTGATGTTTCCTTCTCCGAGCAACCAAATTATTGCTTCTCCTGCTGGTGGCTCTGGAAGTGCCTCCAAAGGTCGTGACTGCCAAGGGCAGCAATTAAACTAAATGTCTGGGTCCGGAGAAGCTCCAGGTTCATCTTCCTGCCCTGCCACAGATTTCCTTCCCAACCTTGGGCGAGGCAGGTAGGGTCCCCTGTTCCCGAGGGCAGCTGTGCACAAATTTTTTCCCTCGGTGCTTACAGACCTTGGAACATCTGGTACCGTGGTTCAGCTGATTATGTGATGGGCACGATGGCTTTGCCCCGGGCACATCACAGAGCACGAGGCACTTGATGCTCCAACATTAACTTACGTATTGGGACAGAAGGCAGATAAAAGTCTTGCAGGGGCCATCGGGCTTCCCAGCTGGCACTGGTGCAAGAGCAGAATTGGATCCTCAGGCTTTGCACGGCAGAGAAGCTGCTTGGAAGGGGATGATGTGCTGCAGCGGGTTGTGTTTGCTTGTTTGTTTCTTCGCAGTGTCTTTCTGTGTTGACATTTGTGCCGGGAGGTGGTATTTTGGGGAGGAAACGTGAGCTGTGCAAATACTGCAGCGAGCTCCAGCTCCCAACTTCGCAGAGATCTGTCAGCTGGCACCACAGGCTGCTTTTCATTTCCAGCTCGTCCTCTGCTTGCATGTCATTATGCATGACACTGTTGACGTGTGCATGGCAAGTGTCATGCATATTGCCGCAGAGTTGCCAAGAAAAGGCAGAAGAGCTGACAGGCAGCGCCTGTTCGCTCTCTGTGCAGGGAGTGTGCAGCAGATGAAGCAGTTCCTTTCCCTGTCCCTGTGGTTGTGATCAGAGAGCGCTCGGAACAAATCTCGCAGACCATCGTGGGATGTTGTCCATTGCCGAGCCTGCCAAAGTGCTGCCCAGCACGGTTTGAATGCGGCACTAAAGTCTGTGGCATGCTGAAGGTGTCCCTGCCTGCAACATGGGGCTTGGTAGCCAGGGCTGGGCTGGAGGATGTTTTAAATCAGGGGTTGCTCTGCCTGCAGGTGATGCCCGACCCACTCTGTGCAGGTATCCACTCCCCAGGGTATCTCATCTGAGCAGCCCAGGACCAGGATCCGATCTCTGTTGTGCCCCAGTAAACTGGTAGTAATTGCTTCTGGGGAATTAATGGCTGGAGGAGTCACTGTTGGTATCAGTATTCGGACCATTGCATCCATTGGACCTCATTTTTCTCATGTAAAGAGTTAATTTCCATAGGTGAATGGGAAAACTATTGCTGTAGGTAAAGGAAAGTCGCCACGGACCTGTGCTGGGACCGGCTGTCAGCGTGAGCCCATTAGTCGACTGGTGCAATGGGGCTGGAAGCAGAGAACCCAGCCAAGACAGCCGGCATCAGCGGGGAGAGGGCAGCAAGCAGAGCTGGGCAGCTTCTGGTCACCAAACTATAACCCATCTTTCCTGCAGTCAGGTCCTGGACCGGGTGAGAGGGGAAGCACTGGGAGAACTGGGGAGACCTCCGGAGACGCTTCAGCTCCTGCTGAGCGCTTGGGGCAGGGCACAGCGGGGAGGAGGCGTTCAGCTGCCGCTGGCTCAAGTTTCCGAACGTAACTAGGGCAGAGCATTGCGCTTAAATTCATCCACCGGGCCAAGAGTCTCGTATTCGCAGGGCGCAGAGCGCGCGGTGGTGCCAAACCCGGCGCCTGCGTGCCGCCCTCCTGCCCGCAGGGGGGAAGGAGCTTGATCCCCGGCGTGGCTGAGATGGCAGTGCGATGAGCAGAAGCCCTTGCCTTAGCCCTGTCCTTGTGTTTATCCCACGACTCGGGCGCATCCTGGCTTTCTGAGGGTGTGGGATGCCCCTTTGTGGCCGTGGAGCAGGGATGGGTCAGTGCCGTGGTCTCCCCATCGCCAGCAGGACCACTGGCTCTGGGCAGGAGCATCGCTACTCGTAACGACCCCGGTCCTGTGCTTGCATGTGCTTTCCAGATCAGATTTCCCGGTTTCACAGGCAGGAAAGTGTATTTCTCCCAAACAGGCTATTTCTGCCCTGATGTGGTGTTCCTGCATGAGCCTCTCCACGAGCCCCCCATGGGGAGAAACAACCCTCTAATGCCAGGGGGAGCAACATGAGGTTGATGACAGCAGCTGTAGCCGTAGGTCGAGTTATTTGACTCGGGAATGCGAGCACGGAGGAGGCTGCTTACCAGGCTGGTGGTAGTGCAAGGTGGGGAGGAAGAAAGGAGCCATACAAAGTGGAAAAATGGTTTAATTTCTCATGGTGTGAGGGGGAATTGGAGAACTGTTGAAGACCGGGCATGTTACCGCGGAGAGCCCGGTGCAGAGCCGCCCGCTCGGTGACTCCCTGGGGTTGCTCTGCAGCGTGGAGCCGTGCAGGGCACGGGCTGGTTTGTACTGAAAAACATCAGTGGGCGTTTAGGAAGAATGAGATGTGGTGGTAAAGCCTGCGTGCGGCACTGATGCCAGTTTTATTTCTGAAGGGATTGCTGTTATACCACCACTCTGAAGGGAAGAATACACTGAGGCAGATGGAGGCACAGGCTAAAAACCAAATTCCTAATTCCCAGACCGCTCGTTCCCCTCCTGATCGTGGCCCAAGGCGGGTGGGCATGGTGCTGCTTAGGAAGCCAGCCCGGTGGGAGCCGGAGCCATGCCGTGGTGGGATGCGGGCTGGCCCAAGGTGGTGGGCGCAATGCTGGAGCGATGCTGCCACGGTGCTGCTTCTCCGTGCTGCTTTTCTCTGGGACACGGGGAAAAGCACAAACTCCGGGTTTGAGGTCCCAGGAAGGGGAGCTGGCAGCCAGGCTGTGCTCAGCGTTTCCTGAAAGTCGGCTTGTTTTGATGCATCCCGACTCAAACCACCACATAAGGTGCCCAGACCAGCAGTCTCTGGGAAAGTGCTTGTGCCCAAGTTGTGGTCCTCAGAGCGTCCAAGGCACAGGAGACAACACCCGAGTGCACAAAACCCCTTTGATTTTGCTGGGCTTGTTTTTGTTCTTCGATTCAGGTTTGTGCACAGTGTGGTCGCACCCTCCATGGCAAGAAGTGGGATACTTCTGCGAGTTGTAGCTCTTTCTCAACCTCTCCTTCTTTTCTTCCAGGATCATACCGCAGCTGGAGAACTCGCCTTCACAGGTTTCACCGAGTAGCCTGCCTGGCTCTGAGATTTCGGAAGCTACAAGGACTTACTTGCAAGGAGTGAGCCGCTACGACCTGGATGAGCTCGATGCTTGCTGGTTGGAACTTGTTAATATGGAGCTCAAGGAGATGGGTGAGTATTGCTGTTGTTTTTCTCCTTGCCTGGGCATCCCAGAGTGGGCATTTTTAAGGCTTTTTAAGTAATTGTGGAACAAAAGGCCTTGAAGAAGAAATCTTCTTTAAGGCTCTCCGAAAGAGATCATGTGGATTGCCACAGCGCAGGACCTTGAGTGTATCTGTCTCAACGCTTCTCGCTCACATAGGGCTTTTGGGATGTGGTGCAAGAAGAATGGGGCAAACCAGATGACGGTAGGAACAGTTCAGCATGCCCTGTGGAGCAGGGGTCTGATTCGCAGAAGAACTGATAGACCCAGATCCCTCATGGCCATGCTCTGATTGTGTGACCATCATCAACTCCCATACTGATCCCTGCAGCATCTGGGCTGCAGGAGGAGGTGTTGGTCAGGATGGGTGTGTTGAACCTGACTCCTCTTCCTTTGGCCAGATCTGAAAGCATTTCTCCAACGTTTCTCCAGCCGGGCAGGTGGAGTCAGAGGGAAGAGGCTTTCCTAGTCAAAATGTGTATTCTCAGAAATGCTGCTCCTGGGTTGTCTCTCTGTTCCCAAGTGTCTCTAAATATCACAGCGTAATGTAGCTTGCTGTTATATCACTGCACATTCTTAAAATCCATTAGTGCATTTCGGTTGAGTGCAAGTACCTGGACTTGGAATTTGACCATTGGCACTAGTGCTTAGCATGGTCTGCTGGGCACGTTTGTTGGCACAGACATGTGGGTGTGTAGTCCTGCCAGACCGTGGAGGGATTTTCCAGTCCTTGTTAGGTAAGGCTTGCTGCGGTGTGGCTGCTGCGACGCAGGTAAGAATAACAACGCCATAAAACATTCACCTTGTGAGGTCAGTGAAAGCTGAAGTGTGCCTACGTGAAGCATTACTCCCCGTTGCAAAGGTCTTTCGAGGGTGGGACAAAGTATGTTATCAAGTGCTTGAGCAGACGGGATTGTGCACCGCCGAGCAGGAAGGTTGTGCTGAGTCTCACAGCCTGCCGGCTAAGAGCTGCAGCAAGATTCAGTAAGATTGCAATAAGATTTAGGTCAGTAAGTTTGCACGGAGTGTAAATGAGCTCAGATGTTGGGCCCCACATTGGCTCATCTGGGTGGCAGAAGATCTCTGTTCTTCTGATGTACTTGTGATTTACAAGCAAATTTTGTTACCATGATCTCTGGGACCTTGAGAAAGTTGTAGAGGCTGCTTTTAGAGTTTGGCTAATTATCTGTTATATGTATCCTGTATATTGGATTTCCCATAATCTCGGTGTTGTGGAGCCCATAGTATCACTAGCAAATCGCAGTCAGCTTTGCCCTCATTAACTGGTCCTGTATTAGCAGCCTCAGCTCTGTCATTAGCACACCCAGGTTTTGAAATACCAGCAGCTACAGTCAAGTCCTTGGGCAGCGCAGAAGGTGCTCCTGGGCAAAGCGGAGTGGCTAGGTCCTGCTCGGGTACCTTGCAGAGGATCCACCCTTCCTAACACAACAGAGCTGCCGTTACTGCATCAAGAAACCGGATTGTACCACACTGGACGTCCTTCTGACTACCACCGTGCTTTCGCTGTATCTCCTGCTGCATTTCCCTCGCTGTCTCCGCAACTGGGTGGCCGTCAGAGGTGTCTCTGGGCTCCAGAGAAGGGTTGTCTCTATTTCCACTTCCCCCTTGTACGGATTTCAGAAGTCTCTAGAAAGGCAGCAGGCAGAGATTTGGCTTCTGCAGCTCAGTTGGGTTAAATTTGGCTCGCTTTATTATTTCTTCAAAGTATTAGGTTACAAATGCAATGTCTTAAATGGCTTTCAGATGCGGAGCTCCCATGCTGATGGGTAACTGGAAGGTTGAGGCGAGACGGGAGCTGGCTGTCCCCTGCGGCTGCGAGCGGCACGTCACCTTTGGGCTGGCACGTGCCAAACTGGAGCGTGTTGGGGGAGAGGGGCGGCTTTGCCAGCGGTGCTGCCTTGGGAATGTGTTGGATTTAGGAGGGGAGCTTGAGCATCCTCACAGCTATCTACCCCCGGTAGCCCCGTTCCTTGCAGGTGCGTTGGGTGGGCTGGCGTCGCAGCATCCCAATGAGCACACCCTGAACCCCATGTCGGGACAGAGGCGATGCTTTGCCGCTGACCCTCTGTGGAATTTTGAACGAGATGCATTTTTTTTTTTTCCTCCGGCTCCTTGTCATTTATCAGCCAGTCAGCTTTTTCAAGGACGGTCCTTAGGAGGTGTTTGTACAGCACCGGTCTCTGACGAAGCCCCTGAGCCCTCCTGCCGTAACCAACTAGAGACGGTAATAAGGAACCCAGGGGATTTCAGCAGTGGTAATGCAAAGAGCCTCACTGTCCGTCAGCTGATTCTCCAGCCCATTTCTGTTGCTGAAAGAGCACTGTAATTACTGGCTGAGCCTAAAATATGCTGGGGAGAGAGTAGCTTTGAAAACCAGCGTTTGGCGTGTGAAATCCACTGCGGGTATGGCTTCAGCCCGAAGGATTCTGGTATCTCGCCCCATCCCCCAGCCCTCCCCACTCCTCTAGCTGTGCGAGGGCTAGTGCATTTTTTCTAGTGACTTGAAAGGGAAAAACATGTGGCATTGATTAATAACCCATCCCCGGCACCGCAGTGAGCTGGGGGTCTGGCAGGTAAGGAGCGGGATGGATGCTGGTACTTCTGGCTGCGGGACCACGGTCGCGTCGCCCACGCCGGCCGTGCCTGGTGCTGCCTGGGGAGCTGGACCGCAGCGGCTGCGGGGCATCGGGGCTGCTCGGGATGCATTTTGCTGCCCGTGGGAGTGATGGGGTTTGGGTGCTCATAGAGAAAAACTGTTGCAGGAAATCTATCACTGCTCACCCTCCTGGGCTGTGCCGGAGCGGAGGCTCCGCTCCCTCTGCTTCCCATATGGGAGAAGCCGTGTAGCCGGGGGCAGCGGGGTGGGATTTTGGGTGCCCTTCACCGCCCAAGGCAGAAGATTGCCGCCTGCCTAGGTTGGTCTGAAGGCAGTCCATAAGTAGCGCTTTCTCCCAGAAGCCCTCGACGTTAATGACATACTGAGATTTCCAAACCAGCTTTGCTAATCTCTGAGATCATTAACATGATTTAACTGGAGAATTGCAGCCTCCTCCTATTCGGAGAAGTCAGGAGTTATCTCCCAGCGTCAAGAGATAGGCAGAAGTTTAAATTCCTCCTGGGTGTTTGGCTGAGCTGTTGTCACTGGGCAGTCCAGGGGCACAATGTGTCATTCCCAAAATATTTAATGACAAAGAAGGAGCCTGATCTCTGACTGGCTCTTGAGGAGCTGCGGGGAGGAGAGCTGGAAAACACCTATGAGATCATCCATCTCGCTTTGCCGTTAGCGCGCATTGATCCACGTAGCACATGCCTTTTCCAGTCCTTTTTAGGTCACCCCAGGGATGGAATTTTATCACCAAGATCAGATAAATCTCCAGATAGCTCCAGCTCTCTGCACTCTGCCGGCTCCTCTCCCAATTAGGTGGAATTGCTCCGAAAAGCAGAAGTTTTACGCGTAAAACAGCTTTAAATAACTTTAAACTCCCCAGTAAGATACCTCAGTAGCTGTTACTGTACTTGGTAGAAATGTAGTGTTCAAAGAACTTCTGTGCACTAGAGATGAAATCAGTATTTCAGCATGCCTAAATGTTTTATTTGTTGCTGCTGCAATATGAGATAGTAAAAAAAAGTGGATCTGAAGGAGTCTGAATGAGACCCTGAGCCAGATTCCTGTATATGCCACTCCAGGCAGCACAGGCCTTTCCTTTTAGAGAGGAGCCATGCCGTAAGTCGTCGTTTTTATATTAACATTTTATGCTGTATTTTGTGATCTTCCCTAAATCCAAAGCTATTGTAAAAGCAAGGCTAGAGAGACTTCAAAGACCAAGGCTGAACTATCGCTTTGCGGTGATCGGCACTTCATAAACACACGGAAAATCCTCAAGAAATTGCTAAAAAACGTTGCCGGAATCAATTTTGCTGAAGGCAGAGTCGAAGTTTCTAAGTATTCCCTTGACTTAATCCATATGGTGTATGCTGCTCACATATGCCCACCACAGCTTCTATCTTGGGAGCTGGAGGTGTTCCTGGTATTTTATGGCAGGAACATGCAAAGGTCACATGTATTGCTTTTGAAGCTCCAGGGGGAATTCATCACTGCATACTTGAGATATGTCTGTGTACTAATGAGATGATACCTCCCTCGGCGGAGGTGAGATTGGTCAAGTAGATGTGGAGTAAACCGAAGTCGCTGGAGTAACCCCGGGGAAGATGTGCTCAATGGAGCAGAGGCTGCCGTTAAACGCACGCCTCGGAGAGCGGCTCCTCGCCTCCCTGGCAGAGCCAGGAGTCCCTGTCCGAGGTTACCCCCATCCCACCGTGTCCTTTCGGGATTCGGGGAGCCCCTTTTTCCCCCCTACCCGAGGCAGCACGCTGGCATTCCCCAGGCAGAACCTGCCCCCACGCAGGTGCCCCCCCCCTACGGGTGCCCATCACCGTGGCCAGGCTCCATCCGCTGTGCAGGGCCCCCCCAATATCTGTCACTTGAAGCTCTCCCGTTATTTTAACGACTTTGAGAGTGATTCCCCACCGTGTAGCCCCATTCCCCGCCGGTGCAGCCGGCCGGAGGGAGCCCTACAATGGGGACCATTGCCCCCCATTGGGGTGATCCAAGGGCTGCTGTCCCCCCCCCAGGGATGCTCCCCAGCCCCGGCTAGCTGGGAGGATGTACAGAGCCTGTCCTTTTTGTAGTGGGATCCATTTCCTTTAACCACCAGCCCCAGTTCCCCGTTTTAAGTGCATTCCCCACAGCTATAAGGGACCGCTGGCAGCGATGGCCCTTCCACCACCTTCCCCCCATGCCCCCGCACCCGGGATCACCCTGCTTGCCGCTCATCGCTTGTGCAAGCTTAGCCCGTTAATAATTCAGGGTCCGTTTGTTTGGATTTTTTTTTTTTTTTTTTTTCTTGTTTTGAAGAAATCCTGCCAGTTTGGAGCTGTTTTATAACAC